ACCTACATGGGACCAGGAACATCTCCTGGGCAGACAGGCAGACTCTCGCAGATGGTAGCCATTTCTTAGGTGAGCATATGCCTCTACAATTTTGTCCATTTTCCCTTAAGAGAAAACAACACAGTCACAGTGTGGTGCAGCATGAAAAAGTCATCAGGACTGGCTGTCTTCTCTTTTTGCCTACATGGGTGCCACTTACTCTTGTGAGGGCTTGTAAAGATCTTCCTCATTTTCCAGGTCTTGACAAAGTACAAAGGAGTGTTTGGCAGTTATTAAAAAAACAAAAAAACAGGCTAAAGCTGAATAGGAAGTATTTCCTCAGATGCAGTTGAATATATTACTTAAGGAATTCTTACACAGATTAGAAATAACATTAAATGCTATTGAGAGGAATTCAGAAATTGCTTACAAGTTCTTAATATTTTCCCCATGCACATCAAATGATATCTGTAAATAAAGTTTTTCTTTCACATTACTGCTTTATGGTAAAAAAAAATGTGATTAGCATTAGCACTTTGCATCATTATAGGAGAGTTAAATCACAGTATCTTCGCTAAAAAGCAAGCCTGAGTTGTTGTGCTTGGTTTCTTTCTCCTTCATTGCCTTTTTGCTTTTCAGGAGTCACAGAAGCAAAATACAAGGGACTACTAATTAGATTTCTATATTTCTGTGAGAAATAATGATAATTCTGAGCGAGTAGGAAAAGGACATGAAACTCCACCTCCAAGTGTGGAACCAAGGACCCTGTTTTCTACCAGTACCCGCCCAAGACAGTTATTGAAAACTGCCTGCCACCAGTTCCAGCCACTGTGTCCCCACAGATTCGTTGCTTGCCAGCTTCCAAGGGCCCCAGCAGCTTCCTCATATCTGCATAGACCTCAAGCCAGCTTCACTTCCAGAAGGCACTGGCAGGACCAGCACTGTAACACAGCATGTTAAACCACAGCCAGCAACACTAGTATTCCCTGTCACAGCATGGGGCTTAGCAGGTAGGCTCTGACCCATAAGGGAAAGGGACACACAAGGGAGCCCAGGGAGGCAGGGGGGATCCAGGGGACTTTGAAGGAGTTATAGAGAGGTTTAGGTAGAGAGCTTGAGGTAAGAAAGTTCGGGTTAAAAGTTAGCAAGGTGCTCCAAGCAATGCCACCAGTGAGACCAGCAAACCACTGGGGAGCTAGTTGAGTTCTGGCATCCTAAGTCAGGTAAAAGTTCTAAAAACTTGTGTTCATGTATTTATTTCGTACTGCAAGCCTTCAGCTTGCTTGAGTCACTGAGAATTGTGTGCTCCGCTTTCCATCCAGTTCCCTGCTTGTAGTCTGGGAAAGCAGTAGAAGACGGCCCAAGGACTTCAGACCTTGAACCTGTGTGGGAGACTTGGAAGAGGCTCCTGGCTCCTGGCTTTGGATCAGCTTAGCTTCAGCCATTGAGGCCACTTGGGGAGTAAACCAGCAGATGGAAGATCTTCCTCTCTGTATCTCCTCTGTATATCTGCCTTTCTAATAAAAAATAATAATAAATAAATCTTAAAAAAAAAACCAAGAAACTGCAAATCTCACTTATACTGCTTCTCCAGTTACCAGAAAGAAAGTTGTCATTGCAGGCACAGAGTTGCTAATCTCTGACACATTTTTACACAACCCATTTCAGTATTCACCTCAATCTCCAGATAATAGAGATGGCAGCATTAATAAAGACTCAGGTGTCCAATTTAGAAGAACATTGAGTTTTTTTTTACTTCATTGGAATAATTATTAAGGATATAAATGTAGCCACACTTAACAAAAATGAGAAAATGTTTGGGCTAAAGGTAGTTGGTTGGATGGATGGACAGATGAAGATATATGATTAATGTAATCAGAAAGATTTTCACCATACCTCTGTGTGTGTTCCTTTAAAATGGATTGCTTCAATCTGCATAGTAATAAATGTAATTGATTTTAATCAGCATCAGTATTACACGTACAGAACGTTTTGAATACATTTTTTAATTCGTTCATCCTCAAGATTTGCCAACCTGAGTTTTTCCCTGTGACTCTGGTGAATTTTATGTGTATTTTACACTGATTAATTTCTCCTGTTGTATTTCATTTAATCCACCTAGTGCTAAGAGGTAACCCTTTGTATTTCTTGTTTAATGCACAACCTGCAGAAGACTCACAACTAGAAACAGAAAGTAGGAAATTGAACCGAGACAGTGTCATTATGGAAGCCATACTCTGCAGTAAAACCAAAAGACCTGACATGTAACATGGTCAAAACTGGGGGACTACAGTCCAAACCCTGTACTTAGAGTTAAAACCATTCACTCATTCATTATTAAATTTCAGGATATTACAAGTTAGTTTCAAATTCATAGACAAAAACAATACTGAAAAACAACATAGCTGTGTATCATAATCAATTACAGAAATGTTTCATAGTGAGATGCCAATTTTTAAAGCAGAAATACTGAAAATAAAGACTTATATTCCACAGATCTTATTATTCTTAGAATTCATCAACCTTTTTACCCTCCAGCTTTTTCTCATTTTCATTAACTTTATGCAGTTTGTTTATATGAATGCCTCCAATTCTTTCTTTATTTTTTGCTTCTTTTCTTGTTATTATTATCATCTTATGATTCAGTTCTATAGGTCCTGGGATTTCCAAGTCTTTCAAATCATAATTTATACTGTTTGGTTTAAGGAAGTTTTCCCTACTATCATTTATGCTACTCTAGTTGAGCTAGTATAGTATAGTATTATAGACTGAGTGCCTTAAACAAAATAAAGTTATTTGCACATAGTTCTTGATACTGGAAGTCTATGATTATGGTGCCAGTAAGGTCAAGTTCCTGTGAGAGTCTGCATCTAGGTTGCACAGAGCCACCTTCTTCATATATAGACATACACAGTCATTTGTTGTGTATGGTTCTGAGGAGATATAAAAGGTGGTAGTAAAAGAGGAGAATAGGAGAGAGCCAGCCCTCCATCTTGTGATAAAGCCACTAATTTTATCCTACAAGATATTATTTCATTATTTTTTAAATTTGTATTGTTCATGATACATTTCCTTATGTTCAAGGATTTCCTCTTTCATCATATCCTACCTCCCCATCACTTTTCCACCATATTGTAACAATTGTATAGTCCTTCAACAACAGTCACAAGTTCATCATTCTTCTATTTAAGTATATCAGGACACTGTAGGTATAGATAATGGTAGGGATTCCAGCATCCTATTGCAAAGATGTATTTAACAACTTCATTGGGAGTCTACATTTTATTCAGAAGTAGAGATACATAACCTCATTAAATCTAATTTACCCCATAAAATTTCAACATTTAAATATTAGTAGCATTAGAGATTATAGCATCAACATATGGATTTTGTTACACTATTCCGTATGTAACATCACTGTATACATTTCTATAATATATTCCTTAGATAAACTTGTTGGATTCACCTATTTAATTACTTGTGTGTCATTAGACACGGGTATTCTCAGGTCAGTTTTTAATTAAATTGCTTTAATATTCCCAACAAAAATCTGACACTTAATGGCACTGTTGTGGTTGGAAAATTGATGATATCACACTGTGCTTCACCAATACTTCTTAGCTAAAGCCACTCAAGCTGGAGTAACAGGACTGTTATAGACACCTGGGCATCGTCAGAGGAAAAAAATATCAAAACAAGTCTTGGGCTCACTTAGCTGTTAAGTGACACAGACTTTAGTTTCTTCCGAAGTCGTCATCAATGCAGATAAACTAAGATGAGCATCAGTGACTGGCCTAGGAAGCAGTTGCTGCACCTGTTTAAGTGAGTAGCTCACCAACCTGATTTATAAAAACACAATAAATCATTGTTGTACAAAACTTTATTGTATTCTGAAAAAACAAGCATGTAACACAATTTTGAGCATGCCAAAGATAAACATCTGAAATTCTGTTTCTTTCAAAAGCACAAAGTACAGTACACAAGATTGTTTATAATGTTTCAAAATTAAAAAAAAATATCAGGACCTACAGGGGTTTGTGTTGATACCTTTTCTAAATAAAACACTATTCCCATTAGCATTAACTACAATGAAAACTAACATATGAACATATATATGTACTATATGAAAAAGGAAAATAAAAGCATACCACAAGCCACTGGTCCTAATCCACAGGCATGGACACTGCAGCAACTGACTAGTCTGGCAATAAACTCATCCCTTGTTATCCATGAGGAACTGGTTCCAGGACGCTCCCTCAGCCCCAGACCAAAATCCTCAGATGCTGAAATCCGTTATAGAAAATGGTACAACACTTGCATTAAATCACACGTGTCCTCTTGTATGCTCAAGGCATCTCTAGAATGCTTATAATTCCTAATGAATACAAATGCTAGATAAATAGTTGTAAAATGATAGAAAATAGTCTATACACATTCAGTTCAGAAACAACACTTTTTTGAATATTTTCTATCTGGGGCTGATTTAATCTGGGGGAGTAGAACTTGCAGTTAAAGAGAGCCAACTGTACCATCTATCCCAGCTGAATATCAGCCCTGATTGTGTTTTCTGTGACCAGCAAGCCATTGCTATTGCAGGAGCATGAGCTATGAAGTGTGAACCATGAAATGCACACAGACAACAAACTGAACTCAACTCTCTACTGCATGGAGAAAGGAAGTGAAGTGTTTCACAGTGACTACAACTGAGATTGGCTGACACACAATGGTGGGAATTTTATATTCAACTCTGATTAAAATGAATGGACTTTACAAGAAATCCTTGAAATTAATTAACACTACAAATATGAGTCCCGAAATTACTGAGGAGCCTTTAAAATCAGTTTATGTGACTTTTAACAACTGCTGTGTTATTCCTGTAGGACAAAAATAATAAAAATGTAGAGGTACATTAGTTTCTTTTCAAGGGATTCCTGTTTTTGTTTTTGTTTTTGTTTTCCTGAGATGCAAAAGACCACAAAAGAAAAGCACCATGCCTAGGCTGCTGAACGAGGCATCAGACACTAATAGTTTGGTCCTTTTCTAAATGGATCTCTTCCAACAATTGCATTAAAGCACAGTGATGGGTCACACATGCCAGGGGGCCCTGGCTGCCCTTGGATTCCAGGCTTTCCATGGTCTCCATCCTTCCCAGGAGCACCTGGGTCCCCTGGGGGACCTTCTTTGCTGATTCCAGGAGGGCCCTCTGGACCTAAGATGGGACATTAGCAATATGTGAACAGAACATTTGGAGTTTTGAAGGTAAATAGCAGCTTACAAGAAATTTAAACGGACAAAACACTTATTCAACATTTTACATATTTATGTTAAATAAAAGCAGGAAGGAAACATTTTTCTTCCTGATTCCATATGGTTTCCCTTTTGAAAAGCAAAGGATTATCCAAAAGTAGTCACTTATTCTGTAAAACTACGTGACTTATATTACTACTGATTAAGGCAGTAAGCAATCACTTCAAGATTCCACTTTGTAGATTATACATGTCTTTCATACTACCTTTTGTTAAAATCACTCTAAATTAACAAATAATAAACATAGGAAAGGTAAGGCATGGAGATTTTCATGCCATGTTTGTAGTAAAAATGATTTTTTCCATTACACATTTTAAATTTTTTATCTAAATTCATTGATACTACATTGTAACACTTAGAACTATTTTGGTCAACTGTAACCTGACTGATCCAATTATACAACTGAAGAACAAGTTATTTTAGCATATTAGCCTTTTAAAGATGATGGTTCAATTGTTTAAGAAGAAATTCAGACTTTGAGGTACAGTGTTTTGAAGCTTTTCCTCATTCTCACTTGCTGCTAGCACCAATAATTAGCACTTCCTTTAAACTACAATTATAAGCATAATTATAATTGTTTTATACGAACTATATTAAACATTCATGCATTAAAATCCTGATGGCTTAATAATATATAAAATAACAAGAGAAAATATTTATTAAAACATAATTATATTGATCATGCTTTGCTTTGAAAACACTGCATATATTAGCATTTTAAATATTTCAGTAACATCATGATTAAGGTACGATTCCACCACCATTTTAAAAATAAGGAAACTTCGGCATGGCAAAGTTAGCTATCAAAGCAAGCAGAGCTGTATCAGAGTCTAGTACAGCATCATTTTCTGACAGTCATAAAAGTTATACACTAGATAAGCAGAATGACAAAAACCCTTCTAGAACATTTCCGAAACAGTATAGATTTTGAACTATTTCATGTGAAGGAGACAATTCTGATTTATGTGTGACTATTTTCTAAGAAGACTAGTAATTGGATCTCAGTGTGCTAAATGAGAATAGCTCAGGCATTGATACAGATGTCTTGTTTTCAGATCATTAAAAGGCTTGATAATGTTCAGACGTGCAAATGTGTAGCAGCAGCTCTTCAGTACCAATTCTTACCTGGGGGGCCAGGAGGACCCTGTTCTCCAGGAAACCCAAACCCTTGGCTCCCTTTCTCGCCATTTCTTCCTGGTAGCCCTATGGAAATTCAAAATGTGGTTAAAGTTATGTCATATAAAAAATCACAGCCTTGCATAAGCTTTTTTGAAAGCTGTTAATATGTACACTGGAAGAAAAGTAAGTCTTAAAAACAGCTTCCATTCCATTTTTTTATGAGTGGGAAATGATTTTTAAGGCAGAAGTTTCCAAATTATCAGTGTTCAAGATGAAAGACTCAATGGAAATTAAACACTAGGAAAAGAAAATGGCTTGAAATTATTATCCTTTTGTATCCATCACTGTTACAATTTTAAAATTTAAATTGCCCATATCCTACTAAATGAATACTGACAATGTTTCAATGGAAATTTCATCTAAAAATGTAAAAGCAAGAGAAGTTGTGAGCTATTTGTAGTTAAAGAATGTCATTTTTCTATAATAAAATCTTTTCGAATAAGGTAATAATGTAAAAAGTATCCAAAATCAAAACAGAGGAATTGATGTCTGATTTTCTGTTTAAATACCTTATTCAATTCCAGCTAAATTTCTAGATGCACTATGAGCATTTTCCACCTTGTAACTGCATCTGTTCCTAATTACGATCTCTGTCTCTCTACTCAAGAATATTGCTTTAAGAAAATAGAATGAGTCATTAATCTGGATGGCAATGTATCTCAGGATTTCAGAATTTTTTTTTTCTCTTACAAAAGCATGAGGGGTAGGCATTTGGTCTGCAGCTTCACTGGGAATTTGGATGTCTTACTCATACCATGGCAGGGAGCTTGGATTTGAGCTCTGGCTTTGCTCATTCCAGCTTTGTGTTAATGTGCACCCTGGGAGACAGCAGCCATTGGTTCAAACTTTGGATCCTAAGTCCTTGCCAGGCTCTAGAGACCCACAGGGAGCTCCTGGGTCCTGGCTTCACGCTGGTCCAGGCCGGGCTGTTGTGGGCATTTGTAGTCTGAAGGAGTAAAAGGGAGATTCATCCTTTCTTTCTCTCTTTCTCTTTCTCTCTCACTTACTCTTCCCCCCTTCCTTTCTCTCTCCCTTTCTATTTCTATTTTTTGAAATAGTAAAAATAAATAATTCTTTAAAATGGAAAGATGAATTGTTGCCTAGTAAAGAAAAAGAGTATGGATGATGAAGAATTGCCTCTTTTCTTCATTTGATTATTCAAACAAATTTCATACCTCTTATTCCTCTGGCACCTGGACGTCCAGGGGCTCCTATTATTCCAGGAATACCATCTCGTCCTGGCAAACCAGGAAATCCTCGGGGACCTTCTGGGCCTATGGGGCCAGGTGGTCCAGGAACACCAGGGAAACCACGCTGGGACCGGCAATAATCACAATTTTGAATTCTTCCACTCTGAAGTAAGACTGGCAGCTGGGCTTAAAAACAAGACATCCCATTCCTTATGTCTAAAGGCCAACTTGAAATTAATGTTTCAAAAACTAAGCTGCAATCAAATTTATGATTACTGAATAGGTACTCAGATTTTAAGCAATCATATCTGCAGAAGTTTAAAAAATGTGGAAATATTGTTGCCCTGTACAAAATTTATTATAGTGATGGTTTAAAACAGGTGAGAAGTACAAGTGCCCTCACAAAAGAAACTGGACATATTTTTAAATCAAGCTATATAAAAAAACTGTATTGTGGGGCTGGCATTGTGGACAAAGCTTTTGCTGGAGCTGGCATCCCATATAAGCATTCATTTGAGTCTCAGCTGATCCATTTTGACCCAGCTTCCTATCAATGGAAATAGGAAAGCAGTAGAAGATGTCCAGCCATCCATCTGGGAGACCTGGAAGAAGCTGCAGGCTGCAGAACAGCCCAGCTGTTGCCAATACATAAATTTAGTGATGAACCAGCAGACTCAAGGTTTTTCCTCCCTTTCTCTTTCCCTCACTGGTTGTAACTCTAACATTCAAATAGACAAAGACACATTTTAAAAAAATTGTGAAGCATAATAAAATTAAATGGTGCCAAAGATAAATTTAAATATATAAAAGATACTGGAAAAGATGCATACACTATCCCATCATTGTAAAAGCAGACACAAATCAAAAGGGCTTATGAGTACATTTTAAATTTATCTATAATCTTATGCAACTTCTATCCAGAATTTGTGTGACTATTATACTTTGAAAAAAGTTCCTTAATTCTGTGTGTTTGAAACTTACCTCTCAATACATCAGTGCAAACTTGGCGAATAAATTGTTCTGAAAATTCTCTTCCCTGCATCAAATTATTAGGGGTTATAACATGTACACACCAAGTAAAAAGTATGAAAATACATGAGTTGTGAATGAAACAGAATACACACCGGCTTCCCATCCAGTCCTGGAGGGCCCTGAGGACCTGTTTCCCCAGGTGGCCCTTGGGGACCTGCTGGTCCCATCATGCCATCCATCCCAGATTCTCCTTTTGGTCCAATTGCACCTCTGATACCAGGTTCTCCATTTTCACCTCTCTAAAACAAAAACGATCTTCTAAGTTATATGTAAATATTTGTTAAGAAATAATTCCATCTTAAAAATCTTCAAGGATATAGCGAGAGTGTGCATATGTATATGTACAATTTATGTTACATGGAAATACTATCATTGACCAGCAAACATTTTTTTTCATAGGCTATTAAACTGCCATTTATTCATACCTCCATCAAGCTACACATACAAACATCCATTATGTACTGGCGTATTGTATAGGCAACATGCACAATGCTAGACATACAGCAATATGTGGCACAGCCCTGTTCCCAAGTTTCTTGTTCACTTGGGTGTGAACCTATAGATGAAAGATTTCTCTCCCCTACCTAACCCTCCTGTCTCTCTCAATCACTCTGCCTTTCAAATAAATAATTAATAGATAAATACAATGTTTTAAAAAGGAAGTGCAACATATGAAAGAAACATACCTCTCCTTTTACACCAGGATGACCTTGAATTCCCTTTGAAAATTAACATAAAAGCTATAATAAATACACATGCTACAGTATGGTAATGTAGTATGCATCTTTTACCATATATTGAGTCAAACTTTAATTTTAAGATTAATAATGACAATAATGACAGACTGAAAGAATTACATGAAAAAAAATTTTTTTAAAGGTTAACAACTAGTTGCATTTTTTTCTTTTCAGGGTACTACTGTCCCATATATAAAAAAACATTTCACTACTTAAGTAAAAAAAAATTGCAAATGCAACACAAAGTTTCTTGCCTAATATTTCATAATATTAGATTTATAATATGAAATATTAGATTTATTTTCAGGCTCCTAACCAGATCATGCTTAGACAAAAGAAACAGCAACACAGATGAAAGTTTTTGCTGCTAAAAGGCTATACTATTTATAATGATCGTAGGGGAAGGAAGGATAGTCGGGAGGAAGGCAAAGAAAACCCCTGAGCCTATGGACTATATCATGATAAATAAAAATTTTACAAGAGAATGAACTGCAAGCATGGAAATAACAAATCCTTAGTTTTAGTATGAAAATCTATGACAGGTTGAACATTGCTAATCAAAATAATCTCATACAAATGGTTTAAATGCTCAACTTTTTGAGCACTACCTGACAAACACAGACAGGAAATTCAACACCTGACCCTATGTGTAAAGCTTCATTTCATGCAGAAAGTTATTTTAAAATATTGTACAAAATCATGTCCAGGTTACATGCACAAGATCCACAAAGCATAAATAAATTTCATGCTTAGGCTTGGGACTGTTCGCCCTGATAACCTATTTTGCACATGTAAATATTCTAAATACTATAAAAATAATGAAATCTGGAAACATTTTGTTCCTAAGGATTTGCAATTAGTGTGTAAAAAATTCTCTCTAAGGCCTTTCTTTAAATGGTGTTTCTCTTCAGAAGAAATACAGCAGCTATGTGTTCCAAGCATAATCTTAAAACTAGAGCAAGCATAAGAGGCAAGATAAAACTGGAACTTCCCAGTGTGAGAACTGAATTAGAGCTGCAACTGGAAAGACTTCAGATCCAAGAATCCATTATGATGACTTTGTGAGAAAAACATTCACTTGGACTCTGTTCACAAAATGAGGGCCAAAATATCGCACATGTGCAGCACTGGGTATGACGACAGACACCAAGACTTGGTTAAGTCAAGAGCTTGGGCTGCCGACTCAGCAGCTCAAAGCAACAGCTGTCATGGTCCCTGGGTGCTACAGTTAGGCTCTGTTCCTTGTTGTGGGAAATATGTTTCAAACAAGTCAAGAGCAGAGTTTTCTATAGAACCCCAACCCTTTCTTGAGAGAGCAAACGGGCTATTTAGCTTGGAAAGTGAATGAGTGAATGGAACTTTGGAGGTGCTGTGACATGTAAGCCAGTGGCTAAACTTGAGTTCCAACTCCAAAGGAAATAGAATTATTGCAAAATTGTTGTGAAGGGCATTGTGTTTGGGGGTTGAATGGATAAAGTGGTAAAGGTCTGTGAGAACAGTTGTTCATGGAGATTGTGTGACTACTTTAGAGAAACAAACTGTTGTCAGGGTGTGGAATAGGGGCAGATTCAGTAGTGTCATCAAGTTGGTTTAACTTAGTGGATGTTTTTCACTGAACCTAACATAATTATATGATTCTATGTGGGTAAACTCATTTTAATTCCTGCTCTCTGTTACTTTTGCTCTTAATTGTTAGCTTTCTAATTCAGAATGCTCTTAATTCCTAGTCTTCAGTCTCCATCTTATATTACAAATAATCCTGGAGTCATATGCTTTCCAACACTCCACTCTGGTATCTAAGGTTCTCCCAATAGAGAGACACAGAGATCAGTCTCCTTGGAGATATTGCTACACAGATTTTCTTTGGAACTTCAGAGCTGGTACATCTGTTCTGCTGATTCTCAGAGAAAGAGTTTTACCTCTTGGAGAACTCAGAAAGTTTGACCTTTCGGTTCTAATCACAGTGGAATTAAGGTCAACATCTTAAAATACAAAATAACTACTTAAACACTACATACATCTGTGCTCTTTTTGATCCAGTTTGGCTCTGGTTGTATTTAGATGCCACATGACAAACTAAATGAAACATTACCTAATGTGGACAGTTAAGTCAGGGGAGAGACAAAAGCAGTAGTATTATTATGTATTATGTATCTGTTCCACAACCTCTGGATGGCATTTTCATAAGTCTGGAGAGGTAAATTATATCTCTGAACAAACTAGAAGGAACTAATACACTCCTTCACTAGATGTGGCTCCAACTGCTCACATTTTAGAAGAAAACAAGACTATATTGCAGTTATGGCACCTTTGTGTGGTGGCTGCCACTGACCAGTATCTACCTCTAGGAAGAGGTAGAATTCATTACCTTCCTTCATTTACTTGGCCAAAAGAAAGCCCTGGCAACCATGTTGGGAAGTGAAAGTACTAGAGGCCTTCAAAAGTGAAAAATATGTGTCCATGAATTTCAAATATTTTGTAGCAAATAAACATCTTTTAACTCCATTTCCATACACCTTTTCAAGTATCCTATCGTAAAACAAAGAAAACTGTTGCTGCATCACCAGATAACATTTTCATCCTTACATATTTAAAGTGCCTTTTATCCTTATTCTCCACTTCACTCACTTCTATTTGAAAATTACCCTCTCACTATTGCCAAGCTATGTGCTTTATTACTTTAGGGAAAAAAAGAAACAACAACAAAACATATACCTGCTGCCCTGGAATTCCTTGCCTTCCGTTTTCTCCTTTTTGACCCTTAAATGTTTAATAAAAAAATAAGTTGCCATAAATATGATATAAGCACACATATAGTACAGTTTATGTAATACTGTGAAATCACAAAGCCATGTTACAAAAGCAGTAATACACATCTTTGCATTATGTGAGAGGTTGTGAGATTATTTACTCATATAAAATGATGAAATGAAAGGAAAATAAACCTAGTCTTATAAATAAAATGGACAGAAACAAGGAACAAACTGCCAACTTTAGAGAAACATGTAAATAATTTTAGATAATGAGAGTGTTCTGTTGCATCTATATCAATAACAAGAAAGCAGAGTTAAAATTCAATTAAAGTGAAAATTGTATTAATTTCAGTGACACAGTCATGTTTAGTTTTGATCCTGGACAGGTGAAGAAAAACAAGCTTCTTAAAGTTTTCTTTTATGAAAGTAAAAACAACTTGACTGATACCATGCCACACCTAGAAAAAAAAGTAAAAACATAGTATTGTGTTTTAGCAAAAAAATTGAGTGTAGATCTTTAAATAATGTTAAATTACAGAGAATTAACACATGTATAAACACATTTGCTGATTCAATAAATATTTTTATTGCTTTAAAAGAATTTATTAATAATTATATTATCAAGGTTACAGCAAATTATATTTCTACAATTTTATCTATAAACCATGGGAAATCTGCTCACGTTGCCTTAACATGACACAAGCACGAGAACTGATGAGATGTATGTATAGTAATTATCACACATTTGTTGTGATTCAATAACGAGTGTTGAACTATAACTACACAGAGAATGACTATGCTAACTCTTTAAGTACTACTTGATCCTAATATTTTAGAAGATAATTAGATACGAGGAAGACACATTGCTAGTTATAATCAATGAAATATCTTGTGACTAACCTTTCAATCATTCTTGCATTGTCATTTATTCTTTGATTATATAAGTTAATTGCCAATATTTATTGAGCAGCACCCATTTTCTGCCACGCAGGGGCACTGAAACAAAGATGTCAATTGTTGCCTTCAAGTTGCTTACTATGGGATGGGAAAGGTGAGCAGTTCAACCAGGAATGATGTAAATGTTGATTTACAAATACACAACACATAATTAAATAATTGTGCTGCATTCTCTTGTAACTTAAAATGGGGCATCTGACATAGGGTATAGGGAATATGTATTGCTCTTGAGAACAGTCTTGAGTTGGAAGGTATACCCAGAGAGAAGACACACATGGCATAGGCAAGACACTGTAGTTCATTTTGGCTAAAGGAGAAAAGCAGGAGTAGATGCATGTGCAGGATGACAAGCAAAAACACTAGCAAAACAGATTTAATCCTACCAGCAGGCACCTTATGGAACAGACATTACACTGAAATGTGCAGGGTGTCATTGAAGGATTCCTGAACAGCTGCACAGAGAATCTACTGCGTATTGGTCAAGTGTGATGAGGAAGGGTGGACTGGACTCCTGAAGACTGGTTACAAGAATGTGTTAGTAACCCAGGATCCCTGATAACATGACTAGGACAGTGAAGTCAGGAAATCGTGACGAGTTCAAAAGACACTTGGGGCCCATAGAACTGAATGGTTAAGTGGAGAGAAACTAGCTTTTAGGAAGATGTAAAGGTTTTTTTGAAGTGAGCAGAAGGGTTGACTGTGCTGATATCAAAGAAATCTATGAACACAAGATGGTTTATGGAGAAAGATGTCAAATGTAATTTTGGACAAGTTACCAAAATCAAAACACACAGAGATGAAAAACTAACCTTGCTTCTATAACTAAAAATAACATAAAGAAATTTCATGATAATATATAAAGACCTTCCTGTAAACAACTGCTTGAAAAACAACTATTTAGTAATACAGCTCTAAAGGAATAATGTCATTAGAAGGAACTATTTAGAATGTGAATTTAGCAATTTTTGACAATTATTTCAATTTGAAATTTCTTCACTTGTATCTAGAATTCCTAGAACTTTCATAATTGAATATACTTCATACTGGCATTAATCATTCTTATGTTTTTGATGCAAGCAATTTAAAATCATTTTAGAAACAAACCATTAACAAACCAGATATACAAATGGACAGATATAAATTATGCAAAAATATGTTCATTTTGTTTATTTGGCTCCCAAGTTGTCAATGACAACAAAAATGATAAAAAAAATGTATATTATTTTGGTGTTGTCTGAGAACCTGAGTATGAAAAGGACTCAACAACTAGACATTGAAGGGGAAAAAGAAAGGGACTGGATAAAACAACATAAGAATTAAGAAGAACAAAACCCCAATTTTAAAGTTTAAAAAAGAAATGCAAAACACATACCTGAATGCCTCTTTCACCTTGATCTCCCTTGTCCCCCTAAATACAAAGGTAGTTTAACATGTATCATAACATAGTATATTCTCTATGTTTTCAAATAAACATGTTTCTCTTCAAGGAGAAAACTGTAAGGTTTCATACAAATTCCACAAGTTCCTGTGTACACAGGAGCTGACTCTTGACACAGTATCTGGGAAAACAATAAAACCACATTGTGCCAAAGAGATATCCTGAAAGAACACTTTCTTATGCTCCAACATTCAAAAGCAAATTTAATACTATCTCAATTTTACCAGGAAAAAGAAATTTTTTTTTCTGTATGGTTCACAGTCTGAGGTTAAACAATCTAACAAGAGGGCTTGTTTTGACAAATCAAACTAAAAATCTTCCGTTAAGCTCATAGTAGCCACAAGTTTATAGGAAACAATGACAAAGTAAAGCACAATGTGTACAAGTGACATTTAAGAAAACATACTCTCCAAAAACAAGCTTCTGGAGGAAACCTCATAGTCCACAATCATAAGTTTCACAAAAATTCTCATCTAGAAAGAAAATTAGAGACCAACAAAAGCTTGGCCTCATTTTCACAGATTATAAAACTTGTTTGGGGAAGATAAATCAGACATAGAAACATTCACAAAATTTTCTTTTGTACCTTATGATAATATATAAACATAACCAGCTTTTGTGTTTAATAGAAAAATAGACTTTCCTTAAAACAGCAAGTTTCTAAGTAGCAATTTCTTGAACTCAAATATATATATATATATATGGAGAGAGAGAGAGGGAGAAAGAGAGATCATATGTTTAATTAATATTCAGTAACAATATAATCCTTAATTGCCACTGAAGGGTCAACACCCATCTCAGCTAATATTTCCTATAGCACTTCTGGACAAAAAATGGCAAAACTGAAATTGCATTTAATAATATAGGGACCAAATAGGTAACATAAAAGGGATAGAAAAATAAATGTTAGGAAGCAGAAACAGCTAGGAATATGAGTGTGAGTGGATATACTTTCCAGAACAAAGCCAGTAAACAAGTTTTCAAACATTTTTGGAAGGTGTGTATCAGGAAAACTCTAAGCATGTACTATAAATTTTTTTTCACAAAATTAGTGCACATTAATTTGTTATAAAATGTCTGAAACAGATCTAGTTTGAAGCAGTTGTCTTTTAAAGACATCAGATTGAAAGCATCCTTGTCAGTACAATGTAATTTATAAAATTAAAACAAGAACAAATATCTAATTGATGCTGAAGCTTGAGTCAAAGAATAGTGAAATTATTATGCTAGATAAAAAGTTTGGGAATGGCACCAAAGAAATTGGGACTTCACAAATGAATACATTTTTCTAACAAAAGATGATTTTAACTTCAAGCTCTGAGCAAAGGACCTTACAAATTCATTAATGAGGCAAAAATAAATCTTACATGTATTTAATAGGACAAAATGATTTAATAGTAAAACAATAGATAAGACTCTATAAGTTTTAACTGATTCAGCTTACACAATTCTGTCTGAAAATCAAGCTTTTTGTTCAATCAATGCCAAAACTGTTGCATTCAGATAAGCTGCAGTCAAGAACAGATCATTCAATGGAAATATTCAACAAGTGGGGTCAAGTTGCTGAAGGTTTCTTCCAGGGATTACAAAATATTAAAAATGTTTTAGTAATACAATCCTGTAGACATAGCAAAATTATAAGAATGGCTAAACTAGAAGTGCAAGTGGTTCAAGAACAGCCAGAACAGGCTCAAAACGAAAAGAAATTGTGAGAATATTTAAAGTACTTTTCTTGGTTACTTGCTAAAGGTCTGAAGAATGGTAATATCTGCTTACCCAAGAAGGTCTTTTGAGAAAGTTAGCCAACTGCACTGCAGAAAACCTTATGGAACAAGTCCACCAGAATCTGTCCCAAACAGAATGCTCCTATTCGGACCTCTCGTCAACTAAGACCAAATTTGTGAGACTTTCCATAAGCAACCATGGCATCCCAACCAAAACTTTTTATTTGGCTGCTTTGAAGAGCACCAGTTTTGCTCAACCATATTATTAATTCCAAACATCTCAGTTTTTCCCGTGTGAGGCAAATGGCTATTACCATCATTGACAAAAGTGTCTGGAAGTTTACAGAGTTTACAAAGAGAAATCAAATTTATAGCTTTTACTTATAATATTTGCATTTTTTTCTTATGAGTCATGTTGCTGTCCTCTCCAATTAACAAGTACTTTTAGCTTGAAATGTATGCCTGGGCAGTTATTTGGACATTGGCATAAAAGCATCAGTTGCTTGTCCAGACTTACAAATACTGCTTTTATAGATATATCCTAGATTACCTTTACTTTAACAAAATAAAAGCAAAAGGATGAGAATCTCTAATCTTGTTCTTGTTTCACCACTTTCTAAAAAGCAATGTATGATTTGCATTTTAAACTGCTTAAAATTATTTTTAAATAACCCTATTAGGGACATACTTGTTCCATAAATAGGAACAAGTATGACAAAACATGACAAAACACTGTGGATGTAATAGCTTTTAGCCAATCAGAACTTTGTCCTGTTTTTGGTAAGAGTGGTATTTATTTTTCTAGAAGGATGCTTTATATTGTTTAACAAAAACCTGAAATTCATTTGAAATAATCGAAAATTTTTTGAAATTACAGAATATTACTATATGTTTATATTTTCGGATAGTCACTCCTCTTCCAAGACCTCTAAGAGACAATACCCACAAAGGAATGTAATCCAGTTTGTTTCTAATGTGCACGAGAGGAAGTTCATGATAGTGTGAGCAGTTGATTTCCTGCAGTGCACGTGGAAGACTCAGGCAAAGTTCCACGTTCAAAGTTTTGGCCTCGCTCCTCCTTGGCTGCTGCAGGAATTTGCAGAATAAGCCAAAAGACAAGAGATCTCTCTCTCATTCTGCCTCCCCTTCTCCTTTCTTCCATTCCTACTTTCCTTCCTCCCTTCTTGTGCCCTCCCTTTAATGACTTATTTTTAAAAAGTTATTTCAATTTTCTAAATCAAGCATACCTTTTTTCCTTGAATTCCAGGTAAACCCATGTATCCTGGTTCTCCTGGCAGACCCGATGATCCTGGCTCTCCCTGGATAACATAGAAATTCCATAAAGATCCCAGACAGACTGCTTACAAAAAAATACAGCTTATTTTCTCTCTCACGTAACATCTCAAGTTTAACAATGAATGGCTGGATATTGGTTGACAATTAGAGTCATGACTACAGAACTAGTAAAGAATAAAATCAACACCAGAATTCCAATAAAATGTTGTGCATTTTCCACTATCTTTTTCAGTTGAAAGACACTGACAACATGTCACATTTTGCAATTATTTAATTATTTGGTATTTTAATGTACTTTATAGTTCTAACAATAAGACAAGTAAAATGTATTCTTTTTTAACTATTTACTAATCATTTTATTTTGTCCTTCAATCTTTTTTCTCATATTGCTACTTTCAAAAACATTTTCATGTTATTAAGTTGAAAAGTAAAAGTTCATAAATATCATCACTCAGTGTTTTCATTTATTATATATTTTTGTCTCACATATATATATTCACCCTAAATGCAAAATTTGATGTCTTTTCATTCCCAAATAATACTGCAATTTTCTTCACATGGCATTATGTACTTTCATAGCATGATTTTTAATTCTAAGAATATTCTACCATATAGATAATACTTTATTTGATAGATTTCCTACTGTTTAAAATTTATTTTCTAAATTTCAATTTTTATAAATAATATTAAGATAGACATCTTTTTAAAAAAAATTTATTTATTTATTGGAAAGTCAGATATACAGAGAGGAGGAGAGACAGAGAGCAAGATCTTTCATCTGATGATTCACTCCCCAAGTGAGCACAATGGCCGATGCTATGCCAATCCGAAGCCAGGATCCAGGAACTTCTTCCAGGTATCCCACACGGGTACAGGGTCCCAAAGCTTTGGTCTGTCCTCGACTGCTGTCCCAGGCCACAAGCAGGGAGCTGTATGGGAAGTGGAGCTGCTGGGATTAGAACCGGTGCCCATATGGGATCCTGGCATGTTCAAGGCGAGGACTTTAGCCGCTAAGTCATGCCACCGGGCCCCAGGATAGACATCTTTATAGTTAATTTTTTACATATCTATGATTTGATTCATATACACTGAGTACTATTTCCTTAGAAGTAAATGTTTGATCTGTTCTCAAAGCAAGATACCTTACATGAGTCATCTTCACTCAACTGCCCCACTCTCCAGCAACTTACAGGAGCTTCTCCTTCTAGAAATAGACTTTTTTTTTTAAAGCTTTCAGCCAGTGAGTGGCTAACACCTTCACAATATTTGGGATCTATTTGTAAGAAATGAAACATTCCTGAATATTTTTCTTGAGTTTTGTTTTTGCCTTTTTTCATTATCCCCAATCTCTAATATGTTAACCAAAACCCACCCTTTTTCAGTGGAAATTAAGTTTTATTCTCGTTGTTTTTGTTTTTGTTTTCTCTTATGTCCACTTTTGAGCCAGTAAATCTTGCTCTACTTTTAAAATCTAAAAAACATTTTTAAATGGCATGGAAATATGCCTGAACTGTTTGAAGACAACTATTTAAATCACCAAAGGAGTCATAAGCCTTTCTGTTTAGAGTTTCATAATCCCTGAACCAAAGAGTTCATTATATTAGATTGCAACTTTTATTAAGCCAAATTTTATTTCATACCTTTATTAACCAACAATAAGATCTTAAAAAACACACATAAAACCTCCATTAGCCATTTCCTTTATATGGTAGACAGTTTTAAAAGATTTTTAATTTCATGTATCTTAAGGATGTCAAAATGCTAATTTTCTCAAATGATAACATATTTGTCATTTCTTTGGAAATATTCTCAATTGCACCAAATCACAGATACCTTGAGCCCAGAAGCTCCAGGACTACCTGCAAGTCCAGGTTCACCTTTGCTCCCCTGTCAATGAATCAAAATAAGTGAAATTTGATACAGATACATAAGGGGATACACTTGAAATCTTTACATTTTCAACTTTCAAATTATTTGAAATACAGTTTCTATACATAAACCCTACATATTAAGAAAAATTCTTTAATTCAACAAGTAAAAGGGAGAAATATCACTGTAATAAAATAGCAAGATATCAGCTTCACTCAAATACATGGAAATTTTTTGGTACTTTATATATTAATTATCACAAATCAGAGACAATGTATGATATTTATCTTTTTGAGTTGGCTTATTTCATTAACTATAGCTTTACTTAATGCATGATTAACCATGAGATTATAAAGCAACTTGAAATTATATCATTATATTATATCAAAAATTATAAGAAAGAAAGGAGGAAAGAGAAGCAAATATAAGTATAATATTGGGCTTAGGAAATGCATGACTATTATTAGGAAGTATAACTTTAACATTTGAGCTTTGTTTTTAACAAAACAACTGCATAATCCCAAGATGAGGAAAACCAAATAAATGTAAAAATAAATGAAATAATCTGTGATACAGAAATATTCACTTTACTAGCCTTGCACAATCAGTGCAATTTATTCAAGTGGTAGATATTACAAACAATGCTTCCTAAAATCTTCTAAAGATAAATCAGATATTTAATTGACCTACGTTTCAGTGTGAGTCAACTGTGTGATGGGGCTAATGAAAAAGCCTGAAGTATCAGGTTCCATTCTTTAGAAGACCATGAGAGAGAGCTCATCCTGTTTTTAAGGAGGAGGATATAATTTCTCTACGTCCTTCTTACAAAAGGCATTCAGAATTCATGAACCACTTCTTGGCAAATTCAGTCATTTGGCAGTTTTACACCAATTCTGTTTATGTCTACTGCTGTTAAATTTCACAAATTCCAAGGACCCACAAGAGTCCAACGTAGATGAAATACTAGCCACTCTTATCATTGGTCATTGGTCTCCCTTAAACAATTACTCTTCCCTTTCTTATTGTATTTGTATAAATAACTTATAAATTAAAATTAGAATAGTTCAGGTCATGTACCCAGCTGGGAGACTAAGATCGATTTCTCTGAAACAACGTCTACTCCAAGGTTGAATGCTTCCAAAACAACAACTTTAGTACTTCCTTTGAAAATTTCCCCTTCAATCTAAACAATAAATAGGTTGGGATACAAGTAGTTTCCTGAATCTAGCCAGAATGTATTTGGTATGATCCCCTTCCCTATTAAATTCAATTTTCCCATCCTAAAATATTTACCCAAATGATACTGAAAACAAAGTCAACATATAGCTGGAAAATGCTTGGCATGTAGAAATGGATAACCTAGTACAAAAGTCAGTAAACAGATCCTTGTGCTAAACCTAAGCACAAAAGAAACAATTCTCTGAGCACAGGATTTTATATCCCTATAAAAATTCACACCAGGATATTCAGTTTCTATTTCACCTTAAAGTAACCCAACCTGATATCCAAAATATATTTGCCAAGCTTATTTTATTATCTGAAAGATTGGGGAAAAAAAACTATCTTCCCCACAAGAATAAGGAAGTGAATATCTAAATAAAATTTACAATGAGTCATTTTACCAAAAGCATGTATGTATGTATCTATCCATCCATCCACCCATCTATCTCCACCAGCATTCCACTAAGGAAAACTACCAAAGAAAACAGGAAAATTAGTAAAATCTATCTTTAGTCAGTGTTTTGAAACAAGGCTCCGTAGAGTTCTAAGTACTTCCAGGTGCTCACTCAAGCAGCAAAATGGAAGGAGGACAAATTGTTAAGTTTCTGAATCCTCATGAGCTTTTCCCAGATCTGTTTTATTTCAGCCTGTTTCATATACAGTGCTTTGTCCTATGACTTCATTCTTACAATTGACCATCCATGCAATAAAAAAAAGAAAAACACATTCATAGTAAAAACCAATGTAGTTAAAACTCTCATTGAAGGGACAAGCATTTTTCCTAGAGGGTAAGATGCTCACATCCCACAGCTGAGCATGGGTTAAAGGGTTAGCTACACTCCTAACTCCAGCTTCCTGCTAAGGCAAACTCTGAGAGCAGCAGGCAATTAGATTCTTGAAACCCACATGGAGACCTGCCTGAAGTTCAGGCCTCTGGCTAGAGAGTGGACGTGCTTTGGCTATTTCGGGATTTTGAGAGACAGAAGCAGTAGGTGGGTGGGGTACTCTCTCTCTCCATATATACATCACTTTCTCTCTACTTGTCCCTCTTTCTGCATGTTTCCTTCTCCTCTGTTCCAAATTTTTTTATCAGTTATCAATGGCCACTGTGATCACATGAATCTCCATCTTGTACATTTCAATGGACTTACCTTAGGTCCTGGTGTTCCAGGCTGGCCTGGTGAGCCAGCATTTCCCACCAAACCCTATATGTTAAAGTAAGAATTTTAAGAGTTATTTGGAGAAAAAAATTAAAAACTAAATCAGCTTCTAAATTATGCATTTTCATAATAAATAACATTAAATTACAATACTACATTTGGGAAATTCATCAAATATCTTCATATTTAGAATAACAAAATTAAATAAAAATCAAACCATGCAAGGGAATAGAGAATTCTTGAACAATTAAGATGTGGTCGCTTGAAAATTTTACAAACTGTAAACATCTCTAGAGAGTTCATGAAAGACAACAGTAGAGCTTTTCTACATGCGTATTTTTTTTTTTAAACAACGTCTAAGGCTTCTTCATATATTATCTTGACCAACATTACCTACATATTCTACCTTCAACAATATTTGGAAATAAAATCAAGCTGGCCTATGAGTTTGGGCTCCACCTACCACATGCAGGCCTGGAAGGAATGCTGGGCTCCTGGCTTCAGCCCAGCCCTGACCTGCCTATTATGGTCATTTGGGGAGTGAACCAACAGATAGAAGATCACTTTCTGTCTCTTTCTGTTACTCAGTCTTGCAAATAAATACATAGAATCTTTCAAACTAACAATTATAATTACTCCAGTAATTAAGACATGAATTAATTAATTTAGATTCTTATGTAAATACTATTATATACATTTAAAGTACATGGCAAAAGTAATACGTCAGAAAGCATGATCAATATGAAATAATGATCATAGTATGGCATCACTTACTATGTGCTTAATTTAGGATGTTTTATGAGATATTGAAATTATAAAATATGAATTATGTTAACAGAGTAGATGAAACATTTTAAATGTTAAATACTGATTCCTCTAGAAATGACCATAAACATAATATGTTTCTTAGAAACAGATATACTTTATAGAATCCAAATATCCCTTATTGATATATCAATTCAATTTTATGAACCCTAGAATACTAACTCTTGGAACATCATAATTGGATTTCAAACATCTTGATAATAAAGCTATTAACATACTGGCATTCCTGGTGCTCCTTTCTTCCCTATTGGTCCTGGAAGCCCAATTTCTCCCTAAAAATAAAATAGAGATCAAATTTAAAATTTGTATATCACTACCAAAGCTTTTCAGAATAAAAATTCACATCCTTAACCCCAGTGGTCTGTCTTTCAGAGTAGGAAAATAAGAAATTTAATGTCATAATGATAAGGGCTTAGAGTCATTCATTCACATTCATTCATTCATTGTGAATTCACATTCATTGTGAATTATGGAGTGACACATCACACTTTCAAAGGATGATCAAGTAGTTCAGAACATGTTGGCAAGAAACTTGGAAAAAAATCAAGAAAAAATTTTGTTGTTTTCATTGTATTTAAATGCTGTTAAGTTACATGTAATGAAGAAAAACTATTGCTTAGAATAACAGCATTTTTGGAGCCAACTCAGTGGCATAGTAAGCTAATCTTTCACCTGCCACACTAGTTGGATGCTGGTGCATGTCCTGGTTGCTCCATTTCCAATCCAACTCCCTGTCTATAGCCTGGACAAATATTTGAGGATGGTTCAAGTCCTTGAGCCCCTGCACCAACACGGGAGACCCAGAAGAAGTTCCAGGGTATTGGCTTCAGATTGGCTCAGCTGTGCTCATTGTGGCCATTGGGGAGTGAATCAGCAGATGGAAGAGCTTTCTGTCTCTCCTTTTCTTTCTATAAATCTGCCTTTCAAAATAAAAACTTTGGAAAAAGTAGCAGTTTTACTTCAATTTCTTGGTTTGTGGCTAAGTGCTTAAAAAAATATTTCTTCCAGGTCTCCCACGCAGGTGCAGGGTCCCAAAGCTTTGGGCCGTCCTCAACTGCTTTCCCAGGCCACAAGCAGGGAGCTGGATGGGAAGCAGAACTGCCAGAATTAAGCCAGGTGCCCATATTGGATCCCAGTGAGTGCAAGGAAAGGACTTTAGCCACTAGGCTACCACACAGGACCAAGATAATAGTTTTAATAACTGATTAGACAAAACAAAGGAAGAATAGTTACATTGAACATTAGTTAAAAATATTAACTAGAAAGTAAGACAGAGTCAGAATACTAGTAAGACAGGTGGAGTACAAAATTAGGAGGATCTAACCAAAATTCCAGAGAGAAAGTGTAGAGAATAGAGGGAGTACAAAGATTATAAATGAACTTCTCCACAATAAGAGGAAATAACACTAATGGCCTAGGATGTAATCTCAATTTTCAATAATCTGCATAGAAGCAAATCTATATCTAGATACACCATAATGAATTTTAAGAACATTAAAAACAAATTCAGGCCCTGTGCAGTAGCTAAAATCCTCTCCTTGCATACACTGGGATCCCATATAGGCACTGGTTCATGTCCCAGCTGCTCCACTTCCCATCCACCTCCCTGCCTATGGCCTGGGAAAGCAGTCAAGGATGGCCCAAAGCCCTGGGATGCTGCACCCAAGTGGAGGACAGAAGAAGCTCCTGGCTCCTGTCTGGATTGTGTCAGCTCTGGCCATTGTGGCCACCTGGGGAGTGAATCAAGAGATGGAGGATCTTCCTCTCTTTCTCTCCTCCTCTCTGTATATTTGACTTTCCAATAAAAAAATAAATAAATCTTTAAAAAAACACATTCAATTTCATAAAAGAATACTAAACAAAGGGATAAATAGCTTATAAAATAATCATTAGAATAAATTTTATTATAAACACTACCAATAAGCAGATAAGAAGTAATTAATTTATTAAGAGAGAACAACTGCCAACCTTTCATATTTCACAAAGTTATCCATCAAAAACAAGAGCAACAGGAAGACATAAAATAAAACCCAAAGGAGCATCTAAAGATACATTCCAGGAAGAAATAAGCTATTCCAAAAAGATTATCTTAGGGCACAAAACATTGAAATGTGTTCAATTAAAAAGAATACATTTATATAAGTCCAAATTAATATTATCTACATTATTAATAATAGAAACAAGAAAACTAATTTATGTAGCCAAAACAACAACCTGCAAAATTATATCATATTGGAATAATTAACCATTACCATGAATGCCATAAAGAGGGATTCTGTGTAAAATTAGTAACATGTCAACTTACTTTTTAATGAGCACTCCAGACCTAAACTCTTACATTCTCATTTATACTCACCTTTTGGCCCATTAGTCCTTGGCTTCCAGGAAATCCAGGAATTCCCTAAAAAGAAATAGAATTTATTTTTTACATAAAAGCTAAATAAAGTAGAACAAGGCCCATTGAGAAAATACAAATATATGTTATATCATGCATATTATAACAATGCTAATAGTAAAGTTTTGGAAAAGAAAATGTGAGTCTGGAAATTACATAAACATCATTAATATTTAAATCTTTAAACAAAAACATACTAAATAAAGAAGCTGTGAGAAAAATAATCTCAGTTTTTCCTTCTACCCAATGTAATTGATGAAATGATGCTACTTCATTGGAACACATTCTAGATACATTACTTATAATAAATAATGCCAGAAAATGTGTCAAATTACAGCTCAGATTTCCAAATGCCTTCACAATCTTATGAGCTTAAATAAAAATGAATGAAACTACAGAATTTGGGCTAAACTGAGCCTGAGACACCCAGAATCTTTTCTCCTGGTGAGCTCCTGGCTGGTGTAAGGAGCACCTAGTTCACAACCTGCAGACAGACAGAATGAAAGAAAACAAAGGTGCTTTACCTAACTCAACCCATCCTAACTAGGAAGATTCACAGCACATTCATCTTAAATCCGTAAAGTTGAGAAAAAAATAGCCAATATATTAATGGGAAAGCAGCTGTACTATCAGTCACTTAATGAAAGGACTATCACCTAAATCAATAATGATGCTAATTGATTTTCATTTCTTAACCATTTTTCTTAGCTCCTTACTTGGGGACACTTTAGTTGAAATTATTAATAGCACTTATGTTAACACATACATCTTATACTTCTGGCAGAATTTGGAAGACATGGAAATCGGGCACCATCGGTAAGTTCTTAAAAAGCTCACTCTGTCATTTACCACCAGGGCTTTCACATTGACAAGGCTGTTCAATAGACAAGGCTAGTGGTACAGCTGCCACCAACAGAGATAAAGCATTTTTGATTATGTAGTCTGTCAATACTTGGTCACATGTCTAGATTGTCATCACAATGACTGATCAGTGTTTAGCCAGAATCATAATGAAAAAGAGGCAAGTAATTCTAGTCTTAATATTCAAAATTAATCGTATATTGGGATTTATGTACAGAATGAGTTACATGTCAGCAATAACTGTCAACTAGGAGCTCACTATTGTATAACCAAACTAGAGAATAACACAAAAGTATCATTAACACTTAAAAGTTAAGACAGCATTATATCAAGTGTAATGTATCCAATATACACTCTAAAATATAAAGCAAGAGTAAAATTCTGTGACTATATAAAATTCACGAAAAAGAATTATATCCAAGGAAAAATACATACCCTCAATGTAATAAACTGACATAAGTATTTTTCAAAATAAAGGCCCCTTTCAATAGGCAGTGAGTTGGTGTGAAGCTTTCCATGTTCTTCTCCCATTCACACACACACACACACACACACACACACACACACACACCTCAAGTGTGCAAATCCACCATAAACTTTGAATGTTATGAATTAGAATCAAGGTGGTTATACATTGTTTCATGCACAGCACTGGTGATGTCCTAATACAGTGTTACTCAAGGTGACAGGTCATGGTCCATGATATTGTCAGACCTGAGAAGCTAAATTATGTATTCCATGAGAGCCATCACAACTGAAGACTCCATGTTCTTATATGATGTCAATAGAAATTATTGCAGAGCCCTGAATCTGATCTCAGTGTTGAAAAGTCTGCTTCATTTTCCTGGGGAAAAGAGGATTAAGCTCAGTCACCATTGAACAGCACCCCACCCCTGTCCAGCTTCTGCCTCCTTGCAATGCTTGAAAACACATCTCCCTAAGTCTATTCATGAGGTATGACAGGGCTGTTTTATTAGGGCTATTCCAATACTGATCTTAGCATATATGGGGACATAACCACAAACTGTATATTATTTTACAACACCAAATACTGAAACTATTTTAGATGAATTCCACAATAGACAAGTTCACTTTTTGCCTGCCTCCCAAGTTGGTCAAAACAGAGATTTCATAGGTAGCAAAAGAAACCACTCTATATCCTAGGACCAATTATGCTAAGATTTATTATGTATAAATATAACAAATATTGAAAACAAAACAAACTTATTTACACAAGCAATTCTTGACAAAACTGAAATAAGAACACAAAGCATGCACAGAATCATAGGCTGAGGGAGAAGTTAACCAGAAGAACTGAAATTATTCAGTTCTCTTAGTTCATAAAATTTTCCTAGATATTATTTTCCTGGGATCCCAATACATATAATAAAATTGACTAAACATTGCCAAATTTACATGAACAGAAATATCATTTAAAACTTTTGGAAAATTATCACTTTGTTAATCCACAGGTATTTAGTGGCAATTACTTCATACAGCAAAGGTTTTTCCAAGCAAACTGTTTTATATTTAACTCTCAGCCCATGTGTTTTGGGGTCCAGGCAACTGTGAAAATGTGCAAGTAAAGACAGACACATTCTCTTACTTGCAAATTAGATGGATATATTTGCCTCCCCCCATTTCAGTTTAGATTTGATTTCAATTTAGGTTTGAGGAAGAACAGAGCTTCAACTGGAAAATTCTGCATAATATTGTGGCGAAGCAATGTTGACATAAAAAAATGTTCAAGAAGCTCCTCTTTATTAAAACCATTTGTCTATAACAAGTCATTACAATAGAAATGTGTACTTTACAATAAATGATTCAACCTCTTTCTTAGAGACTACTTTATAATGAAGGGAAAATGTCCATGATGTTCTACTTCAAAAGATAAAATACCACATTATATTTTGCTAAATGCCAAGGATGAATATACTTCACCAGTGAGACCAAACCATCATGGGTCAAATCCGCTTTTAAGCAAGGCACTTTGTCAGTGCTCTGCAAATAAATCTAACCTATTGTTGATATTTTTCTATTCAAATATTCAACTTTTCTATATTGCTGTAGAGATTATTTAATATCACAGTTATCAAACTATTAGAAATATGTTACATTATTTCTTTCATTTCACTGAGAAGCAACTTGTTCATTCCTAAAGATCCAATAAAGGAAAAATATACATTCTGAAAGTCGTGTTTATTAGTTAAAAATCTTACAATATGATTCCTAGAAAGAAAAGAGTGTTATAGAAGCACCACAGGGCAGTCTCAAGTTTAGGAGATGGAGTTAGCAGGTGATTTCTCATGTCTGGTAACGCCTAAAGCAGTTATTTAAATGATGAATCTTAGCATCCTATTTTATACATGGAGTAGATAGCCAAATCCACTTCATAGAGGTGGAAGTACTTAGCTCAGTGCTGGCCCTACAGGGCTGCATCATTGTAACAGCTCCTCCCTGACTTTTCAAAGTCCTAACATAGAGAAAGGTTCTTAATTTACGTGTTCCAACATCCTGTCCTCTTTTATCACCATCAGTTATCCACTTATTAACTGTTGCCTTTCCACCTTGCCCCTCCTCACCCAGATTTCCAGTGTTCTTCACGATATACAGGAAGACACAGGCAATTTGCAGTTTACCACTGGAGGGCGCCAACCAGTTCACACTGCTGCTCTGTCTGTTCCATGTTCAGCTTGTATATACCATAATACCATAATTAATTTTACATTTTAATTTCTCCAGTAACTACTTGTCTGGAAAAAATATTACCAACAATTTTCAACATATTTGCAGTACAATATCATAACATTTTGCAATCTTTTTTTTCTCTTTTTTAATTTCCACTGTGACAGATTATGGACGATCCACAACAGATCATTCTGTGGTAAGAGCTCTATAATGAGAATTAACTCACAACCATAGTGTCAGGGCTAAAAGAAACCAATATGCAAGTAGTTGCAATAATCCTTTAACAAGCAAATTGCCAGTTTTACTACTCCAATATCATACTCAAATTAGTCTGCATAGGAAAACTGTAATCTAAGAACATGGATGAACTTATTTGTCCTGGCGAACAGACCGTGACCCGTGTGAAATTGACCCAAATCAGCCAAATCTAAGCATTTAAACACAAAATGCTTCCAGTCAATCTTTTTTGAAATCAACAGTTTGACCTGACAAGTTACAGAAAAAGAGAACGGGTACCCTAAAAAGGAAAAGTTCCCTGGTGTTTTTTTTTTTTTTATTTCAATGTGTTCCAGTTACTGGTACCTATCTTCCACACCAGAAATCCTTCCTACATTTCTTTCCAAAGTAATAAGTATCCTAAATAATCTATGTTGCAAAGGTATTGCTTTTCAGAACAAGACAGGAAGACAAATGACTAGCAAATTCAAATATCTGATCTGAATGTATTGCAGTGAAGAAACAGGACAGTCTGGAAAGAACAGAATCAGGAGACCTGGAACATGCTTTTCCACATGGCCGCTTCTTGAGAAAGATGTACACAGGGTTCTTCAAAGGTTCTTGAGAAATCGAATCAGAGAGTAAGATGGTTGGAGGAAAAAAATCTAAATTCAAGCCTGTAAGGGAACTTTAAAAATTCATAAAAACTATGCACAACTTTCAAATTTTGCACAAAAATGGACTCATGCTTTAACTATATTTTCCACTAATTTTGACATTCCTTCTTTGTCCGAAGCAGTCATAACAACTTGCAATTTCATAAAGAATACAGTGAAATAAATATTAAATCCATCAATGTTTTAAAATGGATGTACATATAATATATATTGAAACTCTAATTCTCTGAAAGCCTAAAGAGTATGTACAGGTACAAAAACCAAAACTGTGGCAAATTTCTCACACTATAACGATGTGTTTCAAAGACTTCTATCTGAGTTGGTACATGACAGTTAAACCATTAATTTTCCAGAAAAATACTAAACTTGCATCAATTTTTAAGGAATTATGTAAGCTCGAAATCATAAAACACCAAATATAAAAATAGTAACATGAATACATAAAATAGTAATATGAAAACACTAAAGATGAAGATAGTAAACTGATGCAGTTTTTATATCAGTTAATTTATATTATATAAAGTAAATATTTTAAAACTGTATCTAGACTGATCTTTTCTGTGT